TAACACACCCAGGGTTTTTGGTTCAAAGATTAGAAAGGTAATTTATTTCTGCATGCTGGGATAAAACAAAATATACAATATTTATCGTATTTATATGGCTATTTCAAGGCATCATTAGTAGCATCTAGTTCTTTTGAGACCAACAACCTCAAATTGCTCAACCTCCTATACTCTGAGGTTGAATTCCTTAAATGTCAAAGTCAATAACAATTAAACTTTATAGGTTAGGGATTTGACTTTGATGCCATATGACACAACTCAGGGAAACTATATATGATTAGACCAATAACTATATACTTAAGCTTCTAATTAGGTCTAGAGGCGCTAGATGAACAGGTATTTCAAACATCCAATATATATATGTGTGTGTATGTATGTATTCGATCAGTAATTAATGAGTTCTCATTAGTGCTTAATTAAATATCAAAATTATACTTGAAATTGATGAGTTTGACAGAGTTTGATTTAACATTCAAGGTCTTTTTTTGGCCACAAGATTTTGATATCTTCTTGCATATTAATGAGTGAAGAAAGTAGCCATTAGTCAGTATAAGTTCTCCCTTGTTCCTCATTTTGCTTTTAACTTCTGCATGCCTGTCTTCTTCGTTAATGTCCTTTCCTTTTAATTTTATCTCAAAATTATGCTTCCATCATTAGTTGGCGCTTTTATGAAATGACTAGAGAAAAAAAGAGAAACGCAAAGTAAATATAAAAAAATAAACAATAAAATATAAAAAAACCACAATGCTATTAATATATTATAAATAATATGTCTCATTTTACATTCTACATATAAATATATAGAACCCACCTTAATGGTTTTTTTCCACCTTAAAATAACCCGCCCTAGTTACGAATATAAACTTAAACTGAAAGTTTTGAGTTTCGTTTTCAAATTCAGTGTACCAAAAAAGAAAAAACCTTATAAGTTCTAACTCTAAAATGATAGATATATGAACCTGTGCCTTTGGTAAATGTCTTTTCCCAGTAATCTATCCAAATATAATTTTCAAAAATATATATGAACTAGTTTAAAGACTAAGAAAAGCCAGACCTAAAAGAAAAGACTGAGGTATGATATAGAAAAGTATGGGGGAAAATTTAGTGTTTTTCTAACTTTGAAACTAATTATATCATGGGATTTTTTTTCCTACTGAGCAGCCAAAAAAATTATATTGCTTACAAAAATACTTGTCATGTTGTTATTAATTAATTAATTACATAATAAATGCTTAAGAAATTAAGCTAACAAATATTATGTGTCTAGAAGCTAAGGGCATGCGTAATTGGCAAAAGATTTAGGTTCTAACATAATCATTTTTTGTCGGGGACAAAAGCACTTTAAATGGGTCTTGTCCTAAAAGGTCATATAGTAGAGATACATTAAAAAGCTAATAACCTCATTAATGTTTCCTCTCTAGTTTTTATTTTACTTTGTTGCTCCTTAAAAATGCCAATAAAATAAGAGGTGTTTTAGTTGAAAACAATTTAACAAGTCATGATTTGTGAACAGTGCTGTCTGCAACATATAGTAATTCATTCCCTCTGACTCAGTATATATACCATTGATTTTTTTAAAAGAAAAATATAAATAGATGCATACTAATTAAATAATCAACTTCCTTTACAATGTTGGACTTTTAATTGATACAAATTTACTAAACAAAATAGACTTAGCAATTATTTCCCTCTAAACAATAACATGTACTTTAACTTGGATTTAATTTAAATTTAAATACTTGAATTCACCATATATGTAGACATCTTATACATTAAACTCATAATTAGAGAGTTATAATATCTGCTCTTAATTCTTACTCTAATATGTGAACATTCCCAAAAACTTATATAAGAATTGTGACTATGGGAAAAAGAATTGAAAATATGTGTCATATCCCTTGGAAGCATGGCTCCACGACCAATTAGACTTCTCTAGGATTTTCATCGTACAAATTTCAGCTGAACTCTGTTGACTTTTGTGTAGTAGAATTGAGTAATGTCCAGATGCAGGTCCATCTTTGAAATTTATGTAATCTTATAAAAATAATTGTATACGTACAACAAGTAATGCATTCAACAACATCAACAATAACAAGCATTATTTCATTAAATATAGTTACATATTTGGATTAAACAATTTTATTGTACTCTATTATTAACTAAGCTTTTTAGAATATTATTAATCAAAACATCTTATTCAACTATTTTCATAAGTATTTTTTTTTTTTTTTAGTTTTTCTCTACTCCTCCAAACAAGGCTCAAGGTTGTTTATTTTACTTTCATCATCGAAGGCTTCTATACATAGTTAAACTATCTCAAATAATTTTCTATCATCTTTTCCTCAATAAATGCCACACCAACTTTTTTCTGTATATGCTCATTTTAAATTTTATCTTTTGTTTATGCTTACATATTCATTTTAATATTCTCATATATACTAGTTCAATTTTATATTCTTGTTGTCCATTTAAAGCCTAACATTTACTATCATATAATATGACTTATCATATATATATATATATATATATCAATTCGATAAATTATTTTTAAAGTTTATTAAGTATCTTCTGATCACAAATAACTCTTGCAATCTTTTTCCATTTAAACCATCTAACTTGTATCCTATGTGTAACATCTCCATCAATTTTTCCTTCATTTTGCATAAATGCTCACAAATATCTAAACTTTTTTATTTGTAGTATGATTTGATCTCCCAATCTCTTTTTCAAATTTTTAGTGACTAACCTTTCATCAAAATTGCAATGCATATATTCCATCTTACTTCTAGTTAGGCCGTCAAATAAAAAAAATCCAAAAAGAAAGAAATGAGTTGTAGGAGAAGCAAAATCTTATAACAGTTACACTTTTGTGCTTTTTACTCTTTAAATACATGATTTGATAGTTATAAAGAATTAAGCCTAATTCATTTACTCCCTAGTGAGAGCCTAAGCTTGTTATGAAATTCCTGATTCATTAATCCCCCTGTTATCTGAGATATATTTCTGGTCTACAAAGATGATTTCAATCTCTATAATTTTCCCAATGTCATCCTTCAAGAAGTACTAATTAATATAATTAACATGGATTTTAAGACATATTTAATTGGATCATCCATAGCATTTATATGTCGAAAAAGTCTGACATAAGCGAATATGGTTTTATAAATAGAATCCACATTTTACGATTATACTCACTCTAACTCTCTCAAAATGCATTATATATATATATATATATATATATATATATATTCATTTCCGTGAATAATATAAGGAGATCATATGGTGTACTCGCATGGCTTTTAATACATCAATTTACCTAAAATCAATTCTCAATAGCAATTTGATTCTATTATGTGTATTTTATTTACTTGGTATTTTAACATTCCCTTATGTTTGGAAAAAAAAAACAAGTGAAATTTTAATGTTACATTTTCTTTAATTTAGATTAGATTTAAATCCAAGTAATACTTCTCACTTTCATTTGCTTGAATCAAGAAATTTGGATAAGAATACGACAGAATAAATATCCATTTAAATTCAAGTAAAAATATTACACTTCATCACTTCCCCATTTCCCTCAATTCTCATCAATTCAGGCTTACTTTAGAGACTATAGAATGTCATTCTGCAGGTGCCAGATAGCTTGATTAAAGAAAGATATATATGTTTAGATTTGTTTTATATGTTAATTCAATATTCTGGATAGAAAATGTTCTGCATGCTCTTGAATCAACTCACTCACACATGGCCATACACACACCATACCCCAGCACAAGATATGTAAGTATATGTACATGTACATGTTTATGTATGTTTAAGTTATACTTACATACGGACTTAGACTTTAAAACTTCAGCAATATTGTTTATTCTGTATTAGTTATCTCTCCACAGATTTGTTAGTTAATCCTAAGTCAAGTATTCACCAAATGAAACTTTCAACTCATACATGGAGAGTCTTGGAATATCAGATCTCAGGAGTAGTATAACCTCTCTTATATACCAAAGTACAGCATACATCAATGAGTCAAGATTTAAGAAACCACAAAGATCAGTCCATCTGACTTATCACAAGTTAATTAAGATTTTTAGAAACTGATCAGGTCTTTACAGAAATGTTCAAACTCAGCTCTTCAATAGTGTGTTCAAGATAGGTGTCATAACATTTTTAATTATATATAAAGCATAAACAAGGTGCAAAAATTAATAGATCAAAAAAGGATGATATGGAAAATGAAACTGATCTAGTGTGTGTGAGTGTGCGTAGGATTTAACTGGTATGCAATCTGTTATTTGTGTACAAGACAACAAATCCTTTTAGGGACCAGAAGAATAAAGCTCTGTATAGAAAAAACTTCACTGTCAAGTCTATAAGCTCTTTGGAGCAAAGACAATTGTGAGCACAGACAAACACATGATCCACATAATTCATAAGCCTCAAAAATGGGAACTGGCTAGTAACAAGTTCCAGGGTATGATCATGTGCTATTCTTACTAGAAATGTATAGATTTAATTAGAGATAGCTGAAAATTTGCTCTTCCTATGAAGCAGAAGCAGAAACAAATCATCCATACTTACTAGAACGCTGAGATTGCAAATACATAAAAAGTACTTGAGACATGCTTAATTAATTATAAGGGTATAGAATGCAATAAATGCAAGTGAGATTGTCAGGAGTTGAGTGAATACACATTAGGGCAAAATTGAAATAACGGATCATGAGATTGTTCTAGATAATCAAGTTTGCTTCACAGAGCAACAATAATAATAAGAACCAGAATAACTTAGTCTTTAGAAGATGGCATTTTCTGAAACAACAAGGAAAACCAATAACCAACTTTTGGCATTCTTGTATGATTGATCTTGGAGCTTTCTGTGAGAATTTCTCTGAGGTTTGCTGGCTCCTGTTCTTCCCTCTGTTTGAGTTTTTTTATTGACCTTCAGCATTCTTTTACCAGAATTTATTGGCAGATTTCCCTGATCCATGCCTTGCTTTGCAGAATAAGTTTAGCAGAAATTGGATAAAAGGAGATAAAAGTTGTAGCGTAATCTTCTGAACGTTCTTTTCTTGCATTCAAGGTACGTTACTGCTTGAAATATATATATATATATATATATTTATATATATTTGCAATCATGGAATATATTGGTCCCATGTACTGTAGAACACTAACCAAATAGTTATATAAATAAAGATTAAAAGCTGCTGGAGGGACAGTTCCTGATATACACTAGTTGGCATATTACATAATGTGAACCACACTTTTAAATACTGGTCAGCAATGATACACGCAGCAACCTTGTACGCCAACTGTCATGCCATTTGCTGATAATCATCAGGAGAAAAATCAGTACAAAGAAAGACTACAAAAATAAATAGTAATTGTAGAAAGGGAATAAATATATGGGACAGAAAAGATACTGGTAGGGAGAACACAAGAAAAGAAGATAGCTAGACTCTTTCTTGATTCTGTAGCATAGAGTATTCATAGTCCTGATCATCATAATAAGTTTGGAAAATTAATAACACATTAGTGCTGACGCTGATTGTTGCACTCGTCCCAAGACTTCCCATAGATTTGAAGATCTGCTTAAAAGAAACAGAAAGAAAAAAAATAATTAGGGATCCCAATCAATTCTAAATAACATTAAGATAATAGGTGAGTAAATACTTAATTAAAATTGATCAGTACTTCAACCACCTCATGAACCAGCAATTAAGCTTAGTAGTACAGTAGAGTCTCCAAGGCTGAAGAAATCAAGCCAAAATCAATAAAAACAAAAAAAAACAAAATTTGTTCATGAGAACCGACAAACTTCAGCTCAATAATACAGGTCGAAGGATGCAATAGCTTCAATCCCCAGTCCCAGTGAAAATCAACCAAAAACAATTTTCATAAAATTGGAAAATATACCTGTGGACAGATTCATGTTAGCTACAGTACAGAAATTGGAGCGCCCATTAGTGTCCCAATTTGGAATCGAATTAGGGAATATTGAGTAGTCATGACTGGTAGTAGAAGTACTTATGAGTGTGGTGCTGTTGGTGAAACTTGCTTCCTTGTGATGATTAGGGATCACGAGGTGGTTTTGGGGATGATTAGAATTCATCAGATTAGAAGGCTGCTTCACCTTCGTTTTGATCACAGCACACTCCTCAATCTTCTTATTATGCTGATCTTCTCTTTGTGTTGCCTCACTAGTATCACCACGCACCACCATTAAGCTCTTTCCCTTGTGATTAGTCCTTTCCCTAGCCCTCGCCCTCGCCTTCTCCCTTGACTCCTTCTTCGCCTTCTCCGTCTCTGCCCTCCTCGACCTGCCGGAATCGGAATCCACCCTCTGAGGTGAAACCACTTCATCGCACTCAGAGGAGGAAGAGAAGCTCATGTTGGTGTTGGTGTTGTTGGTTGTCCTGTTGCTTTTCTTCTTGCTTCGAGCTGTGACTTCGAGCTCTTGAATTGCTTTCCTGGACTTGGTGAAGAGCCAGTCGAGAGTATTGCTGGCTTTGTCGAACCCTAACATGTCTTGCAGATCGAAGAACTTGCGGGCGATCTCAATGGACAATCTCACGCGTCGGTCTCTGAGCCCCTGAGATGTGTAAATTTTACTGTGCCTGTCCTTCTTGGAAGGCTTCTTGGTCATGAAATTACCAGAAACGACATTACAATCGAGAGCAATGCTCTGCTGTTTCCCGACCACAGAAGCATAGTCTGAGGGCGCAGCGAGATTGGTTAACTGTTCTGGGATTAGAGTGGGTATGAAGGGGAGAGAAAGTTGATCATGATGGTAAAAGGTGGCATTCGCAGCAGAAGAAGAAGAAGAAGCATTGTTTTCAACAGCTGGAGGATGAAGAAGAGGGTAAGAAGAAGAAGATGAAGAGAAGGGGAAGCAATAGGTGTTGTAATTATTAGTGGGAGTGAACATCTGAAACAAGATTTGGGGTTGAGAAAACCCTAGCCTTTTCTTCTTCCTTTTCTCTGCAATGAAGGAGGACCACAATAATCACACTAAAGAGATACCCCAGAGGGAAAAAAATGAAGCAGGATAGGCTCTATATAATAACTCTAGCTTCTCATCTTCCTATGCCTCCAAGTAACACATAACGCAACCCTTTTTATAGAAAAACCTTTTCCCATAGAAGGGAAACCACTCACCATCCCAGAAAAAGAAACAGTGAGAAAACGAAAGGGGGGGGGGAGAGAGAGAGAGAGAGAGAGACCAGTCACATGGATATATATTATTATTTTCACCACTAAAGTAACAAATATTTAGATTCGTATACACTTGGTTTCCATTACCATATTGATTAACACTTGAGCTGGGCCAGATTCCAGTGGTAAGCGTACTGTGGTAAAAACTTGAAAGTTGAAAGTCTGTGTCTGAGAGAGAGAGAGAGAGAGAGGGAGGGAGGGAGGGAGGGAGAGGGATAAGAAAGAAGGCATGAGGAAGAAGACAAGAAACACATAATTAGTGGGAGGATGTGTCTCATTGAGTCGAAGCAGAGCAGGGACTGACGATGAAAATCACATCATTGAACTTTTAATATCGTTATATATTTTTCGCATAAATAAGTAACAGACACCCACGCACGCAGGTAGAGATATATATATATATATATATATGTATACACGCGCGCGCGCGCGCACAGATGGGGTTGAGCTGAACGGCTGGTGCTTTTAGCACAGTAGATTCTGACTGACGGAGTTAACAGGTTGTGAATAGCAGGCTGCTTCGTTTTTATTCTTTATGGCAACCAAGCTTGTAACGTGAATTTTCTTTAACCGTGAAACCTCATGTCCCAAGATGGTATCCGCAGGCTATTACGCTATATCTTACAGTTTTGAATCCTTTTTGCACCTATTAGCTTCGACACAAAAGGAAAGATATTAGATAACTTTTCGATTGGCTAATTTGAATTTAAATTTAAATTCAAAATTTGTATTTCAAATCTCACCTTTAAAATTTATATATTTAATTTTTTTTTCATATGAAGGGTTTAAAAAATTTTAAATAAAGAACATAAATGGATTGAGATTCGAAATAAAAATGAAAAAGTGATAATAATGAGTTTATCTTATATTTTAATTGATAAGAAATGAGAATAAAATATGAAAAGATGCAAGAATCATAGAGGTATTAATAATAAAAATAGAAAGAGAATAAATTATTTTAAGTAATTGAAATTAATTTCAAACAATTAGAATATAGAAATAATTTGGAATTATAAAGGAATTATAATAAGAAATAAATTTGAATCAAATCTAAATTCATAATTTTTTGTATATTCAAATAAGGAATTTGATTTAAATTCAAATTCTCATTGATCCAAATGCATCATAAGAGTATTTTTCTATGCAACTTTAAATTCTCATTGTAAAAGAAATATATTACATAGCTATGTGATACAATATATATTTTTAAAATTTATAAATTGTAAATATGTTTTCACATATCTTAAAATGATTTTAAAATCTATAAGGAATTTTAGTGATGTGATTGAGGATGAACAATATATTGATATTTGATTCGATTGAAAAACTTTGATTTGTTTTATACTTTCATTAGTATCTTACCATCGCATTATAATTTACACATTTAAAATGTTTTTTTTTCACCATCAATTAAATTTTTTTATAATTATTATTTTATTTTTAAATTCATAAAAAATTCATATTTGTTTAATTTTTTCAACACATAAAACAAATTATATATGCACACACATGACACTCTTGTTTCGTATTCGAACTTCAGAAATTATAGCACTATCCTTCCTCATGCAATGCATAGGGTTTAAATTTAAATGCATATGGTTAACAAGATATATTAGTACTACTGTTGGTAAAAAAAATATTACTACTATACTAAGAAACAATTGATTCTATATTATCACATTATATCGGTATACTAGTAAATATACAATTTTATCATTTCACGTGTATTAGTATTAATATTGATGATTTGAATTATCTGTATTAAATATGGATAAGGTTTTGACTAATTAAGTTCCTCTCATAGAGGGTGAGCCCTTATTTCCTGATGCCTCTCTTCGCGATGGCCACCGGGTGAGTGTCACGGTGAGATTAGGAAGCTGGGAAAGGAGGAGTTGATGGCGTAAGCAAACAATTTATGGTGTGGTTTGTGTGCGCGAGCGACACATTTAATTGAATCTTTAATTGATCATGATTTTAATTTGATTATGATTAATTCTGCTGGAAATTCTTGGTGTGGATATATATCTATGGCTGTTGATTTTGTAAATAGTGGATATGAAAATAGTGCTTTTGGATTAAGAATCAATGGACCATTCATGTTGCTTTATAAGCGTGATTATTATGGATAATATGTGATTGGCTCTGTTCTATTGTGTTTTGTACTGTTCTCGTTTCATGGATGGCAATGGGAAAGTAGTTTTGGCATTTAAGAGGTTGGGACTATCCATGGAGCAAAAGTCTTAAGACATACGACAACCCCTTTCAACTACTATATATCTTGGTTTAAGTTTCTTATAATAAAAAAAAAAAATGAAATGAGTACGGATTTTTTAAATCAACAAAAATTTTAGAACATATTAATACTGTCAAAAAATTTAATAAGTTTATAATTTTATTTTGTTAAATATGTTTATTTTAATAACACAATTTCTCCCCCCATCAATAAGAAGTAAAAGAAAAAATTTATAATAAAAAATTAATAACATCACTTACACATATATAGGACCAAAAAAAAAAATAGCATTCGCTCTTTTTGCCTTGTAATTACATAAGACCGATTGAGTATCTCATTAATAGTTAATGAAGCCGTTAATTTTGACTAGAGCAATACTAAAAGAAAGGAAAAAAAAAAAGTTAATGTTGATGGGATGGGATGGAAGGGGCTCAATTTTCTCTACTCAGGTTGATGATTGAAACTTCGTGAATAGCAAAAACAAAGGGGAAAATCATATATATGTCTGCAATTTCAAAAATAAGTTTTAGGACCACAAAATAACTAATTTAAAAATATTACAAGTAACTAATCAGGATCACAAAATTATGAAATTAAGTTTTAGGATGATCATGGTCTTTTTTTATAATTTCAAAAATAATAATTTGAATAAAATGCTCTTGGTAACCAAGTTTGTAAGTTTGGGAGTAAAAAAAATTTCTAATTTAAATAATTAAAGTGATTTCATAATTTTCTTAAACTAAATTTTTAATTCAATTAAAGTGATTCTAATACTGATAAATTTTACGTTGGCTACTTGCAAGCCTGGTGATCAACTTTCCAAGTCCTGAAGTAAAAAAAAAAAAAAAATCAACTCGAATAAAGTGATTATATAACCTCCTCCATCTAAATTTTCAATTTCAATAATAGCAAATTTTAAATTGACCAATTGTATGTTGGAGATTAAAATTTTTTTTCTAACTCAAGTAAAGTGATTTCATAACCCCTTCAACTAGATTTCCAATTCAATTTAAGTAAGCCCACCACCAGTAGATTTTAAGTTGACATTTAAATAAAACATTTTAGTCAAAGTATTATTTTTAAAACTACAAAAAAGGACATTGGTACTAAAATATCATTTCATAATTTCAAGATCCTAATTAGTTATTTATTTTTCCGAAAAAAACAAAGTGTACCCAGAGGATTACCGTAATTAGTTAATTTAACCTAAAAATTTTAATCTTAACCAAGTAGTGGTTGAGAGAGATTCGTATGAGAAAAGAGAAAGGGCAAAAATAAAAATTTACCAGAAGCCGTAGTTGGTGGAAAATGTCAAGATGCAGAGAAATAGGCGGCAAGAGACTGTAGTTCACGGCCAATCAAAATCAAGCGAATCCTAAGCTGCGTGGCGCAAATATTGCTGTAGCACACTGAGATGTGCTGGGGTACTTTTGTCAAGTAATAATATATTCACTATACCCACATAATTTAAGATCAAGGGCTTATATATATATATATATTTTTTAATTATACGCATATAATTTTAGATCAAGGGGTTTTATATTTTATTTTTAAAAATTAATAATAAGATGCATTGGATAATATAAATTATTTTTTAAATGTATATATCTAACACATACTAAAAAAATGTGCGTGTGTGAATATAGATATATGATTAGGATTCTTTTGACTGGGACGTACCTTAAGTGTCATTGTCAGTCGGGAAGAACTATTTGGCCCCTGACACTAAATTGATGTCCTGTTTTTATCGGGGTCTGCTACTCTTGTGGCCTTATCACTTGGGGGACACCCGGTAGATTAGAATGGAGAATTTTAATAAAAAAAATTTTTTATCATACTTATTTAAATTTAAAATTTTTAAAATTATAATATAATTTAAAAATACTGATTTGATATTAAATTTTTTAAAAAAATTAAAATTATTTTTATTTAAATTAATATCAGAACTTATTTATTTTATTTATTAATTATTCTATTTCACTTACCAATTTACTTACGAAATATTATTACTTATCTCTATTTAATTTATTTTTATTTTAAATATTTAAGTCATCTTAAAATAACTTGTTAATTTTTATATTGTATGTTATGTTATTTATTTATTTATAAATTATTGTTCATTGTCATACTTTACTTATTTATCCCCATATTTCACTTGTTCAATGCTATATTTTTATTTGATTTTATTTTAGAAATAAGTGAAGTAAGGTAATTAATTACATTATATAAATAAATGAATAAGTGAAGCAAAGTAGTTATAATATGAATTTAAATGAAAGTTATTTTTATCATTTTTAAAAAAAATAATATTAAATCAATTACTCATAGAATACAATGAAATTTTAACAATTTAAGAGTTTTAAATTTAAATAAGTGTGGTTAAAAAATTTTAATTGAAATTCTCTCAAATTAGAGAGCATCCCCTCGTGAGAGCATTTCAAATTGGAAGAATGACGTGTAAGGACTTAAAAACAAAAATAAGCATCATGAAATGGCCTAATTTTTCTATAGTTATTGCGGATTTTTCTGACATGATTTTTTTTTTCGTTGGTGATCATATTACCCACCCATTGCTCCTTTTTTTTTTTTTGGGGGGGGGGGGATCATTCCTGGAGGAGCTCCAGCAGCCAAAAAAATTATTATAAAGGAAGTGACTTGAAAATGGATGACAATTTCACAATGAGAAATAATTTATTGTAGGAGATGCCTAGTATTATATTTTTTAAAAAAGCAAAATTATTCTAAATTTTTTTTAAAAAAAAGTGTAATATTATTCCACCGTTAAATGGCAAGTTGACAATCATGTAACATGTTTCAAAAAAGTAAAAAAAACAAAAAAAAAAAAACAACAACAACAACAAAACAAATACACACTATGTTGCTTTGACTTCTATGCCTAAGATTCCCATCGTCTTCACCGTCCACCACCACTCCTAGGGACCTCTCATCATCCAGCACCCCTTCACCACTTCCAGAGGACTACCTCTCCTTCTTTGGATCTGTCAAGCCTCTTCTCCCCTTCACTCTTCTCTCCACCAACAGCACCCCTTCGATCTTCTGTTTGCTTGTCGAGGTTTTCATTAGATCTAGTCACCTCTCTTCTCGAAGCTTGAGGTCTTCCACCATTAAGGGTGGACGAAGATAGGTAAATTGAGATTTTTCATTTCTAGGCTAATTTGAATTGAGATTGATTGTCGAAGAAAAGGACGATTGTAGTCACTTATTCATGAAATGAATGAAAAGCACGTTTTGAACTCCTTCTTTTTCCAGTGTGTTTCTGGAAATAAACCATGGATTTGTTTTCAAGAAAAGATTATGAAATTTTGAAGAGAATATGTAAATAGCGAATTGACTCTGCCCCAAGGAAGACAAGGACATGAAAACATAAGATTTAAGTTTCAGGGAAGGGGACTTCCTCAACGAACAAGAAACCCCAAATTTTGTAGTTTAAATTCTTTGGAGCTACAAAGGTTCTGCAGCAATGATGATGCCTGTGGCTGTTCCAAGATGAAATCAAACTGGTCTTGCCCAATGCCATGTAATTTCCATTTGCCGAGCGAATCGAAGGCAAGAGGTTGGTCGAGGTGGATCAAGTACAAAAGGGACATTTGGATTCATGGGGGAACTACTAATAAAGGAGTTTAAAGTAAAGGGGATAGAATCGGCTTCAAATCTGATGTACTTGAATTCAACCAGGGGAGAGTCACTCTTTTCTGTGTCTTTATATTCTAAATATTTCCCAAGACGGATTAGGAAGCTCTCGAGTTGAAATCCAAGAGTTGTTTGGAGGCGGTGAACACTTCGCTGAAGATGCTCTTCAACAGAGGGAGAACCTTATGCCTTATGCGACCATGTTTTCAGCGCTTCACAATTCATCTCCACTGTGCGCTAAATCAAAGAAATCACTAAACTTATGCGTTCCGATTATCCAGGAACGCTGGTTCAAATTTCTCAAAACGCCTATGAAGACGATGAAGCTAGAGGAGGCAAAGGGGGATATTAAGTAGAAAAAAGCGTCGTCATCCTTTGATTCTCCTTTTTCTTCTTCACCTTTATTGCAATGGTCTTGTTCATCCGATGCGAGTGACCAGTTGAGAGCAATCGATTTGGTCCTTTCTTTATCTTCCTTCTAAATCCTCTTCTCCACCTCTTCCTCGTTGCTCATTCCCAGTGACTATAGCTCCGAACTAATATGATGGTCGTTTTTTGGATTTAACGGATCCTTCGTCTATAGTTTGTTCAGGGTCTATCAGTCTTAATTGTTATTCTTGTTATTTTATTCATTTGTTTGTGATTGAGTTTCTTCCAAAACTTTGGAGATAGACAAAAGGAAAGAATACCGGGAATTTCTTGTTATTTTTTAAAATGCCACGTGGCTGCCATCTTAGCGGTTAATGGTCAAATAATGGTCAACATTGATAATAAAATAATATTACACTTTTTGTAAAAGTTTGAAGACATATTGCACAAAAAAAAATTAAAATATCAGGATTTTTGGATGAAAAGTTTCAAGACATTTTAACTGTATGGCCCTTTGTTATATGAAATGAAAATAAAACCTTCCATAATGACAACTATTATTTTAAAGTTTTAAATTTTAAATGTCAATGATGTCAACGTCACTTTAAAAACTAACAGCTTTTTTAATGTAAACTGGATCTTCAGTTTATATTTAAAATAGCAAAAGCTTTAAACATATAAACCG